TTGCCAGACAATCCATATACATGTCATAAACGACCTCCTGCTTTGATTCTACAGACTCAATATCTTCTTGACACGAATCCTCAGACGATTCCAAAAAGAAAATACATTTTTCAAAAGAATTTTCCACGTTTGCCCATTTTTTACTCAATTCCGTACTTCTAATTTCTAAAATAAAGATATCTACATCTTCTTCCTTCAAAGCCCGAAGTTTATCACACATTTTGACTAGAGCGTCAGAAACTCTGATGTAGGTATTTAGAGGAGTAGAAGGCATGATTACAATTTATTTTTAATCGCACGAACACGAGAAATTATCAAAAAGAAAAAACTATTTAGTTAGAATTGAAACCAAAGCTTTTCCAACAAAAAAAGCTGACAACAAATTGAAATCGCTACGACAAAATAAATTTCTTCCCCAAAAATTTCCAAAATATTCCCAAAGAATATACCAAATAACCACAAACGGTTGAATAAAAACCAAAAAGGAACGAATTATTATGCAACAAATCGATCAAATTTTCAAAATTATAGCCAATAAACTATACGAAAAAGCTTAATTTTCCAGAAAAAATAACGAAAAATCCACAAAATTGCGAAAAAGTTTAAAAATATTTACAAAATTTCCACTGAATTTGAGAATTTAAATCAAAATAAATGATTTATAAATATAAATATATATAAAAAATATCAAATTTATATTATTTTTATTAAATTCAATATAAATAATACCAAAAATTATTATTTATATGAATTTCGATCAATGCGGACTGTAGGGTGTAAGGCGTGATTATATTACACAATTATATTTCAACTAATCATACACACACTACTAATTCAATTTAAGAAAAATTATTACTTTGTTCCAAACGTGCCAACACGCCACAATCGACCGACCCGATTAGTGTAGCGTACACGCAAACAAAAGAAAAACGAAAAAATTATATTTATCGTAGGCAAGCGACGGCTGCCTATTACGATATTAGTAGGTATGTGTGTAGCGTGTGTGTATGGTACTGCAGTAAACAGACAAGCGACCGTACAACGTAAATATGTCGCTAGCGTATATACGTGTATTGTATTGTGTATTATTGAACAGGGATATATGCGAATATTAAAGGGAAAGGGCACGTTTATTTTTCTATTATTATTCGCACAAGACAGTGGTAATAGGTAAATAATATTTTGGAATTTAATATTTATTATTAAAATTAGGTCGATGTTATTAATAAAATTATCAAAATTTAACACAAACGTTAATTAAATTTTAATAATAATATTGACCACACAGAATTTAAAAAAAAACACTTCTTAAGTAATTTTTTCTCACTTTTACCACAATATTTATTTGGAACAAAAATATTTGTTTTTTGTTATCACTGTTCAATAATGGACAAACGAAGAATTAAAGGCGACGAACGAAAAAATAGGGATAGCGACTTGTTGTAAAGCTACCTTTGTTTTTGTAAAATTTGATTTTTGGTATTTTGGACTTTGGACTTTTTTGTTTGTTTATTATTCTTTTCGCGAGCTCACAATTTTTTAAAACACACTGCACTCACCTACTTGTTGTTTTGTTGATGTTTCTTAAAGATGACGATGATGCAGTTGATGAAGATGAATGAGGGATGATGATGTATAGGGATGGTGATGATGTTGTGTTGTTGTTTATTTTATTGAAATGAAAACTACTAAAAGCCAAATAGAATTCTGCTTCCAAAGCTCGAATCCGGTTCGATAGGACCAAAATGTTTAGGCGCCGAAATTGCGTTTCGAAAAAGGGAAAGAAATAAAACACGACCGTTTTAGTTTCTGATTCCAGAATTTTATTGATATATAAATATAAATAGTAATAGGGGAAGAAAATTAGGATGAACAGATTACCTGTGTTACGTGTAGCGATCGTGACGAGAAGGCGATGAACAATAACAAAAACAATGCTGTAAAGTGACATTGGCGCAAAACAATACTCATTAGAAAACTGACAGTTCAATGTTGTAACATTAAGGAGTATGCAGTTTTCTAATGAGTATGCAAACAAACACAATGAACACGAGCGTTCAAAGGATGAATTTCCCAACAATGCATATAAAGGCGATTCTTACTTAAACAGTGGGCTTGTAGGTTCCTTCTGGCTTCCTTTATCATTTCAAGTCGATCATGTAGCTCATTTCGATCGAGAAATAAATAAAACTGAAATGGTTGTAATTTTTTTTATTCCAATTTTGTAGGAAATCTCTCTCAAGTAATATTTATCGATATCGGTCCACTTTTTTTGGATAACCCCCCGGGATCTTTATGATTTTGGACAAGTATTTAGAGTTGGGCAATCTAGATTATTTAGCGGATCGATCATTCTTCTTAATTTTTTAAAAATGAACTAGTTCCTTAATGTAGTTCCTTTGCTCCATATAGTTCCTTTACTCCGTACAGTTCCTGTGATCTTTATAGTTACTTTGCTCCATATAGTTCCGACTCCTACATAGTTCCTTTCAATCTCTCTCATCGTTCTTTTTGTTTTTTTTTTTCGTTTTTTCCATATAGTTCCTCTGCTCCATATAGTTTCGACTACTACATAGTTGCTCTTTCATCGTTCTTTTTTTAGTTTTCTTTTGTTTTTTTTTTTTCATATATAGTTCCTTTGTTCCATATAGTTCCTTTGCTCTTTATAGTTCCTTTGCTCCAAATAGTTCCTTCGCTCCATATAGTTCCGACACTCTCTTTCATTGTTCTTTTTGTTTTTTTTTCGCTCACATAGTTCCGTGTTGATTTGTTAATAAATGCAAAAATTTAAAATAGTACAAAAATGAGAAAAAAAAAATGAAACGATGCTACAGAATTCAACTGCAGGACGATAAGCACAAAATACTTTTTTTTATAAATAAATAAAAATATTTAAAACAAAAAGAAAATTAAATTTAACTACTTATGTAATTTAAAATACGAACGAATGAAGAATATGGGAATAAAGGAACGAGATCAGAAAAAAAGAACGAGAAAAAAAGGAAAAGAAAAAAAGAACGAGATCAGAAAATGGAACTATATTAATTAAAGAGCTGGAACTAGTTCCGATCGTTCCTTTCTCGGAATAATTCCAATGAACTAGTTCGTTCCGGAACTACCCAACTCTACAAGTATTCCTACATCTAGTATCAAGTTTATTACCATTTACTACACTTCATACACATAAGCATTTCCATTATACAGATTCAAAATTAATCAGAATTCCGATTATGTATTTTAGCAAATACCTACATGTACAATATTCAGTTCCTTTCAGCACTTTTCGAACACATAAGTACACACTTTAAAGGCTACCTTCTTATATAGCACGTATCATTCTAGACCTAATTCATTACGCTGTGTCAAATCTCGTGCAAATCGAAAGATATATTGAGACTTAGGTGCACCATTTACATTAAATCGGACGAAAATATATATGGGAGCTATATCTAAATCTAGGGTTCGTCCTTGGGCCAAATAAGTGACCTAAGCAAATTTTCATCCAAATCGGATCATAGACAGACAGACATGCGTAAATCGACTCAGAAAGTGATTCTATGCATATTCTCAAAAGGAACCATATGTCTATCTCGTTTCCCTTTGCCTGTTACAAACATATGCAAAAAGGCATAATACACTCTACCACAGAGTGGGGAAGGCTATAAACATTGCTGTTGCTGTTGGAGTTGCCCTATATTATATCCCCCTATAGAAGGGGGATATTCTGAACTCGATATTGTCAGTTTATATCCTACAAAGTATGGGATTCTAAGACGATTTAACCTTTTCCGTCCGACTGTACATCTGTTGGAATTATACTACCTTCGGAGGGTATTGAGAAATAATACAAAAAGGTCAGGTTCGAAAATGAACTATGAACGTTCTATATTTTCTATATTTCGATCTTATACTTAGAAATATCCATCGTCTGTCTTGCTGGTGACTTTGATTTAAACTATACTATACGGTGTATTTTTCTTCGGACTACTCCATCTAGTACCTTACTCACAAAATGCCCACGATTTTCATACACCCTACAAATAAACTGAATAGTCTAATTATCAATATTGGTTTCAAATTTGATTCTTTTTGGGTACAAAAAGTTAACAATATCTGTCAAGATTTGATCTCCATATATCGTCATCCCCAATTTTCGGAATTTTTAGCATTAAGGAGTGGTTGTAATTTGGGAACTTTGGCGGGTAAAAAATGTTTCACAATAGTCCACGTTTTCACATAACCTCATATAGAGGTCACGCGACATTTTCAGTATTTTCAATAACCTGAGTGTCTTTAGGTTTTTATTTCATTTTCCCCGACCATTTAAGTAATAAATAGCCACCATATAAAAGTTCCGATTTATTTTAGGTATTTCAGATATCCACCTGGAGAATATTTCAAGTTCGACCCGATACACTATCACTATAATAGAATGGAATGATTTTTTGTTTTTACGATGCTACTTTGAAGGCTTCCATTTTTTACATTTATTTTTTAGATTCAAAAATGCTTGAAATTTTAAAATTGTGAAAGCAATAACAACGGACAATATTGAAAATTTAATGAATTCAGTGCTAAGAGGCAAACTTGCTTGCTTAAATATTTTATTTAATGATAGTGACAAAAAAAAAAAAAAAAAAAACAAGGGGTGTATGTAGACTTTTTCATTTGCTGTATTTATAAATTGAATATTCAAATTTGTTCAAGATCATTTACCACTTTACTACACTCTTTCGGTGACATTGTATTAATTACAAATTCTATTAGAAAACAAAAAATGTGTGTATGAAACAAAAACTAATACAAATGTGTCAACAGCTAACAATTTAAACTTTGACCTAACCCAAAATTTCTTGTCAATTGAATAATTAGAAACAGTTTGAGGAGAATAAAAATACACCCAGCGAACAGAATAACACTTATTAGAGAATTTCATTTTTTTAATATTTAAAAAATAAACATTGAAAAAAAAATTATATATATCTCACTTCTATTTGCAGTATTTATAACCATCTGGATATCCGGCATTGGTATAACAGCTGGAGCTCATCGCTTATGGTCACACAAATCTTATAATGCCTCACTGCCATTGCGTATTTTATTAATCTTGCTTTTTTCCATTGCGGGACAGGTGAGTTGTGAAACAAATAATTTGATTTACAAAATTCCTAAGGTATCTCTATTTTCTTAACTAGCGCGATGCCTACACCTGGGCCTTGGATCATCGAATCCATCATAAATTCTCGGAAACTGAAGCCGATCCCCATAATGCTAAGCGTGGCTTTTGGTTTGCCCACGTTGGTTGGTTGTTTTTGACACCACACCCTAAGGTGGCGGAAAAGCGTAAAGTCATCGATATGTCCGATTTGGAAAATGACAAAGTGGTTATGTTCCAACGTAAATGGTATATTCCGCTGTTTGCTGTCTTATCAATTGGTATACCCGTACTGACACCATGGTATTTTTGGGGTGAATCTTTGTGGAATTCATTTTGGATTTGTTTCACATTGAGATTTACATTGACGCTGAATGCTGCTTTCTTTGTCAATAGCGTGGCACATATGTTCGGATCGCGACCATATGATAAGTAAGTTGAACTTTAAAAAATAAAAATAATTTTTCTATAGAAAACAGACACCTCAGTGGTACGGATGAATTTTTTGTATAGAAAAAAGACAATTTCTCAGTACCACTGCGGCTTCTTTTTTCTATAGAAAAAAAATCCTCAGTATCACTGAGGCTTCTTTTCCAATTTTCCAATTTTCTTGTTCTCTTCAGAAACATTAGCTCCACCGAAAGTCCTTTTGTATCCTTTGTTGCTTTGGGCGAGGGATGGCACAACTATCATCATGTCTTTCCCTGGGACTATAAAACTGGAGAGTTTGGTAGCTATCGCCTAAATATTACCACAGCCTTTATTGATTTCTGTGCCAAGTATGGCTTGGCATCTGGACGTGAGTTTTTAATAAATTTTAAATTGAATTTTTAATAAAAAAAATTAATTCCGATTCCTTTTCAGGTAAATCCGTTTCACCCGATATGATTTTGAGACGTGCTAAAAAATGCGGTGACGGCAGTCGTTTCCTAACCGATGAATTTGCCCACAAAGATGCAGTATGGGGCTATGGGGATAAAGATATACCCAAAGATGACTTACAAGAATTAACAAAAATGAAATAATTGTTTTAAATATATGAAACAAAACCCAAAAAATTCTTATTTTATTTGTCATGCAGTATTTTTTTAAAATAATTAAGCGGAAATGAAAAGTACAAATATTTAACACATTGATATTTTCATTTAGACTTTCTTTTATTATTTTGTAAAGACGACCAGGAACCCCGTCCGATCGGTCATTGAAGCGTGGAATTCTATTGAAATTCAACAATTCAGTTTAGTGACTCTTTCTTGTTTTTGGATGGAATTGTTTTACGATTTTATAAATATATAAAGTAATTTTAATGTAAATTTAATTTTCTTTTTTGAAATTGGTCTTTGTCACCTTGCGACTTGTGGATCGTATTTAATGTAAAACTCTAGACTATATTTGATAGAATTGTATTATTCTTCATTTGATTTTTTTAATGAATTCATTAATTTCTTTCGTTTACGATTTGAGTACATTGGATTAAAATAATTCTATAGGCGTTAGTTGTGAACGGAAGCGTGTGGTGTTCGGACGATTGTAGCTCGTACCCAAAAAAACAACTTAGCAAGGATTATTGGATAAAAAAAAAATAAATCCTTTTTTTAGCAGTTATATAGGTATGTAGATAAAATGTGAGGATAATCAATAAATGTGATACTGTGATTAAAAAAATAAAACAAGCGTCGCAAATCATCTTCAATTGGATATTATATAGATTTTGTATATAAAAAATCGTGTTATACCTTGAGTGCAATAATATCCTACATTACAAATGAGTGTACTAATGTCCTTATTTTTATAAAAATATTCATTTAAAAATGACAAAAGTTTTAATAAACCAGTGAGCGGAGCAGTATAGTCGGACGGGGCCGACCATATGATACCCTACACAACTTCCACGAAAATCTAACTTTCTATTCTGAGCTTGGCTATATTTCGCGATATTTGCACATTCTTGACTGATAAGAGGTCAACAGATATTACATATATTCGGTGCAGCCCTACTAATTACTTGTCCAGATTCAATTCACCGTTCACCATTTAAAAATGACAAAAGTTTTAATAAACCAGTGAGCGGAGCAGTATAGTCGGACGGGGCCGACCATATGATACCCTACACAACTTCCACGAAAATCTAACTTTCTATTCTGAGCTTGGCTATATTTCGCGATATTTGCACATTCTTGACTGATAAGAGGTCAACAGATATTACATATATTCGGTGCAGCCCTACTAATTACTTGTCCAGATTCAATTCACCGTGGGCTGTGTGGTGATGTTCGGCTTTCAATTGTGGCTTACAGATGAACTGGAAAAAACACAAAATAATTAAGTTTGCGGTCCACTTTATCCCAATATAATTATCTGATCATCGCTGAAAATTATAGGCGTTATCCTTGACCATACCTAGTCCCTCATGGAAAATTTCAAAGCGATCAGGGCTTTATTTCCGCAAAATAATATATGAAAACCTAAGCAGCTCTAAATATTTAAGTGTAACCCCCACACCTAAGTAAATACGACAATATAATTGGTATCAATTTAAGGGAATCCCCCCCATTCTCGATTTTAATTTTTCAAGATTTTCAATGGGCTGGTAAATGAATACAAATGCTTGTTAAGGTTTGTAACTTTGCATATATATAATTGAAGATTTAAAAGAGAAGAAAAATAATTTACAAAAAAATGTTGTTATTGTTTTGTTGTTGTTTTTTGTAATTAAAGAAAAGTCCTTATTTTTTATGGCGGGCATGATAACTCCTCACTGGAACATCGGAATCCGAAAATTCCAACGGTGTTAGAAAGTGTACATGTCTGGCTCTCGTATGAACTAGGATTATTGACTTCGCTCTAAAATTACCAAAATGGCGGACCATTGAAAAAATAGTTTTGAAAAATCGCCGAATTTTGACCAAAAACCATTATTAGTTTTTGAGTTATCGTGCCCGCCATTCGCAAAAGAGAAAAACGCGTTTAAAGTTTAAGAAGCCCTTTAGCCGTCACTTGATGCTGACACAATAAAATCGGCTATATATTCAAAAGTTCTTGAGATTTTCACTTGAAATTTTGTAGTGACATTCTTGAATTAGTGTAGAATCGAAATAAATCAAAAAAAAAGTTGACCCCGAGAATAGGGGGGGGGGGTCCCCTTAAACGAAAATGGACTTTAGGCGAAGTGGACTAAAGAACAAATAATTTGTTTGAATTTGGAAAAAAAATTGTCAGTTGAGCGTGAATCCTCAAAATAAGAATTAGGATTACTATTGGAGCACAGGATTGATGTAGCTTTAAAAAATCTTAGTTATGTGTACGAAAAGTACTAAATGGTACTAAATTTGGTACACGTTGGATTTAGGTAAACAAATAGAGCTGGTGTTCTGAAATTGGGAATTAAAATGGCTGTTGAAGTTGTTGTAGTTTAGAAAATTCATATGTATGGGTACAAAAATTACTAATTGGTACTAAATTTAGTACAATTTGGATTATGGCCGAACGGATATAGCTGAAAACATGAAATTTGGAAATATGATTACTGTGAAGGATTGAGCTACAGAGACAGCTTTGAAAATTAATGTGCAAGAAAAGTATTAAACGGCACTTTATTTGGTACAATTTGGATTTGAATGAACGGAGAGTGATTTGGAAACTTAAAATTTGGAATAATGGTTGCTATTGGAGTGTTGGAGAATTGAAATATGGAATTTTAGTACTTATGTGTGCTAAGTGCTAGGATATTTAGTACAACATGATTATGTATGAACGGATAGAGATGGACTCCGGAATTTTGGAATTTAAATTATTGTTGGAGTGTAGGATTGAGATAGTTTGGGAACAAATGCACTGCCGACCATAACACTGTTTTCAGCCTTTTACACAAAGCTGGATGCAAAAATAAGCTCGATGTTTGGGTGCCACACCAATTAACGGAAAAATAGGATGGATCGAACTTCCATCTGCGAAGCCTTGGCCAAGCGGAATGAGATAGACTGAAGAGACTAAAGGTGACTGGAGATGAGAAATAAATCATACACGATAAGCCTGGACCGTTTGAAGATAGCGATTGACAACGCTAGGTCACACACATCTACAGTGACTCGGCAGAAATTTCGGGAGCGGATTTAATCATCATTTTTTTCTTACATTGCAAAATTGATTTAATGATAAAAAAATTTGTATCTAGGGAGGTTTATGAAAATCGACTACTAGAGTTTTTTTTTTCAAATAGAGAGCAGGACTTCTACGAGAGAGGCATTATGAGTGGTAACAAATCATACAACAAAACTGTGTATATTTGGCGCAAATCGGACATTCCGAAGCATGTTACATAAAGTCATATATTTCATATAAAAATAATGGATTTCTTTTTCCCCAACCAAAATTATTTATTTGTTTTGTATTCCATTTCCGCATATGAAGTAGTGTGCACTTCACAAGTAAGTGTATACACACTTTGTTATGGCAAAAATGTGCCTAATAGTTATATTGGTTTCAGACCTCATATTTCTGTGAACAACATCCGTTTCAAATTGGAGTCGATTTGTAAATATCTGTCGGTTCATCTGTCCGCCTTTGTGCTTGTCTGGCTGCCTGATGCGTACGATAACTCTCGAAGAGAGTAACCGATTCCATCCAAACTTTGCACATTGGAATATTTCTTCCAATCTTAAATTAAGTTCGAAGATGGGAAATATTGGTGCACTCCTTCCGATAGCTCTCCCACAAAAGTGTCAAAATTGTTCTGAAATTTAATTTTGTAATATCATGCGGACTATCCGATTTGAACAAACTTTTTCACAATCTATTATCTTTGCCAGGCCTAGATCAAGTCCGAATATGGTACCTATTGGTCCACTCCTTCTGGTCCACTCCTTCTGGTACCTCTCCCTCAAAAGGGTGAACATTTTCAATATTTTATTAAATCCAATATTAGGCGAACGGAACGTTCGATTTGATTCAAACTCAAATCAAGTTCAAAGATGTAAAAAATCGATCCACAGATGGTCTAAATTGTGCTGAAAATGAGTTTTATAATATCAAGAGAAGGTGTCAATATGTTGATTTTTTTCAATAAGCTAATATCTTATTTGATTCAAACATTACAAATCTGAATATTTTTAATAAGTCTAGATTAAGTCCAAAGATGGGACTCATAGGTCCAATCCGTCTGTTACCTCCCCCACAACGGGTCAACATTTTGAACATTTGTAAATTTAATTTGAATAACCAATTTGATTCATTGTTTGCAGTTCGTAATATTTTATTAAACCAACATTAAATCCGAATATGGGGTTTAAAGGGCCACCTTTTCTGTTAGGTCTCCCATTAGCTTCATATGAAATTTACAAGGGGGGGTATGTACCAGAGGGAGGGTATCGATGGCTCCAATCGAATTTGGATTTGGTAGAAATATTACCCATATACAAAGTTTAATTCAAATCGGACAATTTGTGGAGGAGGTACCAGAAGGGATGGGTATCAGCTTTATAAGCCGAAATTGCCTTTAACAACATTTAACTACAAAATGTCGGATATTCTCGGAACTTGTTTTTGAATGAATTGTAAACTTTGTTCAGGGGTATGTTTTTGAGTGATTGCTTTTGAAATTCCGCAAATTTCGATCGTCCAAAAATCCCATTTATTTCAATGTTGAATACTTATTCTGACGTAAGTACTTTTATTTCACTCAAAAGAAAACAAAATACAAGAACTTAAGAATTACATTGATAACTTTGCATATTTTTATTTTAAATTTAACCATTCAATGAGGTTAATGTTTTGTAAATCAGATCATTTCGTAATAATGTATAATTAATGAATTTTTCAGAATATAGATCCATCCATTAACAAAATGGAAACACAGAAAGCAATGACTACTGGTGGTGCAACAACAACGCAGGAGGCGGAGACGAAATCATTTAAACGTGAGGCCAGTTGGCCATCGGTATTATTTTTTATACATTTGCATATTTTGGGTCTATATGGTATTTTTGTTACGCTGACCAGTGCCACATGGTTGACAATTGTATTCAGTGAGTATAAATTTAAAATACTATAA